AATAGATGAGAGTACAAATCCTGTCTGAAGAAAATAGGGATGTTTCACAAAGAAAGTGAAGTTTGGCTATAGCCTGAGTGAATCATCAAGTACCCATTCCAGGGATTTCTAGAGGAAGGGGACAGCATATACAAAAATACCCAAGCAGAAAGATGATTTATTTAAGAGACATTTATGATTGCCTCAAAATGACTAGAGCTCCGTATTAATAGACACCAAGGTGAAATGAGACTGCAAAAGAAAACAAAATACAAATTCTAGAGGTCCTGGTATTTATTATTATTTATTTATATTTAATCCAAAGAGGATAGGTAGTCAATGAAGAACTTCTTGAAAACACTCCAGGCAGAACTCATGAAATTTTAAAGAATCAGGCTAGAGATGTTCTGCTTGACTTAGCAGGTATCACTGAAATTGTTAGGATCACATTCTTTTCCAAATATTAGGGAATAGTGTGCAGTTGATATAATAATCCTAAACATTTGAGCCATTAATTCCAATATCAGAGTTTCTGTTCACCAGCATTCACATTACCCAGCACTTGAAATAGATTAGTTGTTAGATTTTTTTTTTTTTTAAATAACCAAGTCATTTTACACCATAACTGAATGTTTTGGTATTCAGTTATGGTGTCACTGAATATCATAATGGATTCAGTGATACAATCTAATCATCATCATTTGACTGTTTTCCAAACAAACATCAGTTTGAAAAAAATGTTGCTTTGTCTCACAGGGATTTATCACCTCTCCTCCCCTGGGTGACGGAGCCACAAAGGATTACCCAAAGCCCATCTCTTCTGAGCAGTGAGAGACCTTGAAGGGGTTAATCTCCTGGAACCCTCAAGAGCGAGGCATTCCTTCCTTGGGAGATTAACCATGAATTGGGCTTCTCTCCCCACATTTATTTTCCAGACCAGGAAGTTACAGAAAAAGAACATAGGTAGGGTTATAGTTTAACAATATAGGCTGGTAACATCAGTCAAACAAGCAAGTGACATTCCATAATGCAATTTGCAAAGGGTTAAGTTGATCCACCAACAAAAGCTTGATCTTAGCAAACACTGTTTTTCCCTACAGCAATTTCCCAGTATCTTTACATATCAATCAAGTAACTTATCTATCCTTGAGCCAGCAACCTTGCTGTGTAACAATTCTTTATCTTACAACAGAGACTATAGCCTAGGGAAAATTTCCTGTCTTTTTCAAGGTCAACATTTCTATATATAATTTTAAGAAGTTAGGCTAAACCTGAAGCCACAGGGCCCCGGAAAATAAGCCATGTGAAATACATTTGCTCCGTAAATGTTCGTGCTCTCTACAAAAGAACAGGCTATTCTGACTAGTTAAAAAGACAGATCTTTTAATTACTTCCATGATTGGAAAATTCCTTATTATGCTTGATATAATAACCTAAGTCAATTTGTGGCAATATATTACCTTCCAATCTGTGACCTAGAAAATATTTTGAGTGAAGTCTTTATGAGAATAACCCTTCTCTAAGAAAGTATTGCATCTTTGGCATTTTGCTATAGCAAATCTACTTTTCTTTCAAGAACGTCCCTGATCTGGTTTCTAATTATCCTGATTTCATCATTGCATATTGTACATATAGATATTGATATTCAACTCTGTGGGCTGGTTAGAGCATGGTGTTATATAGCAACAAGGTCATCAAACTGGATCCCTATACTGCACAGCCACCAAAAAAAAAAAAAAAAATCATTGATCAGCTCTGTGTAATCATTGATCAAATATGTGTGATGGATTATGTTTTTATGTTTCAATAAACAAGCAAATAAGAAAAAAAACCAGGTCTCCTTACTCAGGGATCAACTACACTCAACCTGGTTTTTTCCCTCCTCCTTTTCCTCCTCATCTACCTTTCTCTCCTCCCCCTTCTCCTCCTCCTCTTTTTATATTTCTTTTCCTCCTTCCTGTCTTCCTCCTTCTCCTTTTTTTAAAATTTAAGTATATTAAGTATGTTGTCAAGATATTAAAATTGAGTGCTACTTTGGTTAACCTAGAATCTCAGTGGCTTTGAGAATGAGGACTTTGGAAAGAAAATGGTATGAGAGATGGGAATGATTGGTGTCCCCTCTATTTGGCTCACATTTGGAACTCTATTCAGAAAGAGAAACTGGAAATAGAGTGCTGATGATGCACAGATGCTGCACTAACAAAAGGACCCAAGAGAATGGTCAGAGTGAAGATGAGTTCAGAATTAGAGACTGAGTTATACCTGCCTTGTGATATACAGAATTCCTATGTGGAAACTTCTCCAGAACCCAAAGATAGAGCCTAGGTGTGTTCTGAATCTGCCTATATCAAACTAAGGGTAGTAAAGAAACGGAGGATAATAGACGTGGAGTATTGTGAACTACCTAGAGGGAAAACTGTCTTTCAAAGCGGAGAGAAAGCTGGTTGGAGGAAGCCTGGGAGATGCTGGGCTGGATCAGCCAGTTTGCTGCCACCCTTAAAATATATTTAAAATATTGTTGAGCACAGCATGTAGGAGAAGTAACTCAATGAAGGGCCAAGTTTCATGCCACTTTATTTCATGCCGTATTTATACTAAGACCCTGATAGATTCTTTACCCTCTCTGGTTTTTGTCTTTTTCCGTGTCCGGCAATGGATCGCAACCCTCAGTGTTGCCCCCGTACCGGACCGGGACCGGCAACGGGATCGCAACCCTCGGTGTTGCCCCCGTGCCTCGCTCAGCCAGTGAGCGGGAACCGGTCTGTATGTGGGATCCGAACCCTCGGCGGGAGCGTCGCCGCGCTTCCCAAGCGGCGCACTAGCGCAGTGCGCCACCGGGCCGGCCCCTCTCTTTTTCTATTTCTTTTCCTCCTTCCTGTCTTCCTCCTTCTCCTTTTTTTAAAATTTAAGTATATTAAGTATGTTGTCAAGATATTAAAATTGAGTGCTACTTTGGTTAACCTAGAATCTCAGTGGCTTTGAGAATGAGGACTTTGGAAAGAAAATGGTATGAGAGATGGGAATGATTGGTGTCCCCTCTATTTGGCTCACATTTGGAACTCTATTCAGAAAGAGAAACTGGAAATAGAGTGCTGATGATGCACAGATGCTGCACTAACAAAAGGACCCAAGAGAATGGTCAGAGTGAAGATGAGTTCAGAATTAGAGACTGAGTTATACCTGCCTTGTGATATACAGAATTCCTATGTGGAAACTTCTCCAGAACCCAAAGATAGAGCCTAGGTGTGTTCTGAATCTGCCTATGTCAAACTAAGGGTAGTAAAGAAACGGAGGATAATAGACGTGGAGTATTGTGAACTACCTAGAGAGAAAACTGTCTTTCAAAGCGGAGAGAAAGCTGGTTGGAAGAAGCCTGGGAGATGCTGGGCTGGATCAGCCAGTTTGCTGCCACCCTTAAAATATATTTAAAATATTGTTGAGCACAGCATGTAGGAGAAGTAACTCAATGAAGGGCCAAGTTTCATGCCACTTTATTTCATGCCATATTTATACTAAGACCCTGATAGATTCTTTACCCTCTCTAGTTTAGTTTTTCACTTTTGTCTTCTTGTTTAGAAGATGCCTAATATGTTACCTAAGCAAGATGTTTTGACCTGAGTTTTAACTCTTTCTCTCTCTCTCTCTCTCTCTCTTTTTTTTTCTGGTTTTTAAGGAAATATAGAATTATGTGACATTTTTATTATAAATCCTATGGTTGTAACTGAATTCTGTCTCTTGAAGACATGTAGTCATCAATCTCACTAAGTATGTGTACATTTCCTTGTTCTTGTAATGGTTTTTATATTTTTAATGTGCCCCCACTTGAAAATACCAGTTGTACTTTGATCCTCAATATTCAACCATATTCTATTTTATACTCGACAGTCATACCTTTGGAAGTCACTTAAATTCCATGGATAATTATTAATTTTTATATCTTTGCTCGTTTAACTCAAATCCTTGAAATAAATTGTAAATTGCAAAATAATCATGATACACTTCCTGATAGATTTTGAGTGTCAACATCATGATTAAAAGTCCCACCAATGTCTTTCATATAAAGTGACAAGGCCTTATCTCTGTCTCAACTCACAGCCCCAACCTCTGCTCCCAAAGATCTGACAGTCATTACTCGAGAAGGGAAGCCTCGTGCTGTCATAGTGAGCTGGCAGCCTCCCTTGGAAGCCAATGGGAAAATCACTGGTAAGCACCTCATGTTTGTAATTGTGCCTGGGACTGTGATTGCTGATCTCCTACCCTGCTCTTGCCTTTTGTGTGTTAGTTTTCTGTCTCAGCGTATCAGCTGACTCCCTGACACACTCTGATTATCTCCTCTCACCCTCACTGTCTGTGGAATTCTTCTAATGGTGCATACAAATNTTTTTCATTCTATGGAGCATTAGGACAATCTCCTAATGAAGTGCCTCTGAGTGTAAATGGCTAAAAAGAAACTGGTTTTTTTGGCAATTATGAAATACAAAAGGTGCCTAATAGCCATGTATTTTAGTTACGGCACACATGAGGGAGGTGCCTGGAGATTTTCAGTTTCTCAGTTAGCTTTTTGCTTCTTACTTAAATCATAAGGTTCAGAAAACACTTAATATTGACTGAAAGAAATTGAACATAATGAATATTTCACAGTGACAGATTTTATTTTGCCAAATATTGCTGATAACATCAATGCCTAATTAAAGCATCCATTAGAAGCCTGTAATGTTAATTTAGTATGAAAAATATAATGGAGTTCTATCAGAGATTTTGCATTTAAATGATCATGTTAGGCTTTTAATAGATGTCTCCATAACATATAATTATTATGAAAAATATTGTATGACTCAAAGTGTGCACATTATAGTCTAATTAACTTGAACCATTGGGTTAGGAACATGTAAGAGTCACTCCTTTTTCTTCTTTTTTGCATGCAAGAGGCGGCTAGCACTAATGTAAATGGACAAAGTCATTCAGTCGTTCTGTGATACAGAGATAAGCATGGAAATTGCAGTTTCAGATGGCAAACTTACTCTGTGTGTTACCTTCCGAATTTTGCAAAATGTAAAGATAATGTGAAAATTCCAAATGTGATTGAAATTTAAGTTGAAGATTTGTTTTCTCTAGTAAATTGCTTTTAGTGCAACAGCAAACAGAACTTTCATTTGAGCTGACAAATATGAAAAAAGCAGAGGGGCATAAAATCTCTTGAAAATCTTATATATTCAGTTGTCAGTGTGCCAGGTCTTTAAAAACTGAGGCAGGCTTATTCTAATTTTTTCCCCACCTCAGTATTATAATCTACTTCCACTGGTTTTGTCAGTACTTTTGTAGCTTTTGATTTGTTTATATTTTATTTT